AAGTAATCTGATTACATCACTTGGTTACTTGTAAATGCGTTACCCCAACACTGGTTGAGCATCTTCAATCTGGCAACTCTCTCCAATATTTTGAATTTGGACTGCAGTAACCTATATAAAGCTATAAAGTCACAATGTAAAGACATAAACACTTTCATCATGTCTGGTGTTAAGAGCTTTGTTTATCACCGTCTTTCTGCTGATGATGTAACACAATAACCCTGTGTTGGACACAGAACAGAATTACAAGAAACAATAATAATATGAAAGGGCAGACAGAACACAAGAATTACAAAATTACATTTAAATGCTTTTGCATTCGCTCACACAACTTTAATATTTTGTTTATTTTCTCAAAACTTCCACAATACTCTTAAAAGACATAAGGATCATTACTTGCCAAAGGTGAACTAACCGCCTCTCAGTGACCAACATCAATGAACTTGCATTACGTTGACACAGAACAAGAAATGGAGATGTAAATCTAATCTGTACTTTTTTGTCCATTTGCAAGCCACTTGAGTTCTCGAAACTTGAATTTGCACATACAAATACAATCACTCAAACTATTCATCTTGTCAGCGTATGCATGGAGATTGAATTCCATCTCTCTCTGGCATTCCTTTATATTCAGACTCTCTCGGACGGCGCAGACTAGTCCTACTGAGATCCATAGAGACCTCTTCAGCAAATATTATTTATTAGACTTTTTTCATCATTGCAAAGCTGTGAGAAAGCACGGTCTACAGTAACTGCTGCCTCTGTAAGCGTATTAAAGTTCCATCTGCCTCGTGTCTGCCAACCACTGGCCCGACAGGGGGGCTAAGGGGCATTTCATAAAGAAAATTCAATCCATCATGCTCCCACATGAAATTAATATATGTCACAGCCACTTCTGACAATTTAATATCAAGCTGAGAGAGACGCTCCCCACTGTACACTGCAACGGAAAGAGAAAGCCTGCCATCTCTTCAGCTGACTTCCAGTTTCAACTCACCAAATCTTATCCAATTTCACTTATAAATGATTAGTTCAAAATTCAATTTAATGGTTGGAGCACATTAAATCATGGCTCTTTCAAAAGAACCGATTTTTTTCCCCAAACCGTAAGGGGTAGGAACATTAACCCAGTTACAATAGCTGCTAGAGCACTAATAGTTCCATCTCTGAAATCTGACAGAATGAGATATTTTAGAAGCTATTGAAATACAGTTGATATATACATCAACCTGTGACCGGTTATAAACTGAATTCTTACTAATGTGGCAAGCATCCTATCTATTCTTTTATAAAAAAAAATAAAAAAAATAATAATAATAATAAAACAACAACATTAATGTGGTGTTCGTACAATGTCTTGAATAAACCTCTAAAATTCATCATTTTTTAAATTTAATTAATAAACATGAATATAAATGAATATACAAAATATATTACAACATTAAATATTTTTTGTTGTTTATGTACCATGTCATTATGTACTATGTATATAATACTTAAAATTCATGAATTAATCATTTTTAATTCTTTTTTCTTTTTACCTTGAAAAATATATTTTTCTTTTCTGTTTTTCTTTTTGGAAAATAATTGTCACTAGGTGGATTACTTGATATTCAAACCAAATTACATTTTTTAAGCCATTATTATTATTATTTTTGTTTGCAAAACTATTTCACACAAAAATTAATGTAAATTGTGCAATAGTACAAAGTGCACATAGTAAGAAATATTTGTCATTTCAGACAGTATAATTTTTTTTTCTTAAAGCCTTATTATTATTATTTATTTATTTATTTTGTGCTTTGCAAAGTGCTATCTTCATTTAAAATAAAACATCACATTATTTGAAATTTTGTTATCTAATCCAATGGCATTCAGTAATTTTAAGTGTTGTTTTTGTGTCCAAATACTTTTTTTGGGCCGCTGTATGTGGCATGTCCTTTAACTAAAATCCTAAAGATCCTCTAAACCAGTGGACAGTGTAAGATTAGATCAGACCATGTATACTGCACTTATGTCCACGACCAGGACAAGCAGTTAAATGTATAACTCATCTAGCCTTTAGAGCAAGAAAGAATATGGACAGAATCTAAAAACCACACCAAAAAAAACGCAAATAAATCAAACAGAAGACGGGAGTGTGAGACACACGGAGCATTTGCAAGGTGGGAGGTTATGTGGTGGTAAGAGTGGGGTTGTTTGGAGATTTATGAGATTTAGAAATTGAGTTCAGGACGAGGCACAGGGCACAATATACCACAGCTACCGCAGAGTCTGTGACCTTCAGCGCTGGAATACAGGAATGATGATTTTCAATTAAACCGCAAAACCTTCCCGAGAAGGCCTTGCTCACGGCCTTTCATTGTGTTTCTCCTTGAGAAGACACTTCCTGAACATACTCAAAAAGACAAATGACGATCAGGTGCACAGATCAAAGACAGCGATACATACAGCATGTGGACATGCAAGAATGAGGTATATGAGCAGGGCTCTTCTCTCACATCCTCCACAATGAGGTCACAACGTCCCATACCGCTGATACTCTGTCCTCTGAACATAACAACCCCGACTTGGACACATTTCTCACATGTTGTTATTTTTAGTTACTGAACCAATCAACAGATCAGGACCAACACTGCTAACGTGTGTTGACTTCTTCTGTAGGATTGGGATCTGTAATAAGGTGAGGTTTGTGGTTTGGACTAGGAAGAGGGGTATGAGTATTAGGATTTATGTGTAGAGGTTGGGGGTTTCAGGTAAGGGGAAACAAATTATATATGGCACAAATTATATGGACTATTATATTATATTCCTTTTATGTGCTTTTTGGAGCTTGACAGTTACAATTACCATCCTCACATCCCTCATCCTAGTGTTTCACGGATGAAAACATCCTCTGTGTTTGGAGTAGGTGAACTATTCCATTCATATTATTCCTGCAAAGCACTAGCATTTTACATCCAAGACACTGCAAAAGCCATTTTTATAAAGAAATTTGATATTATAAATAATAAAGTTTTATTTTTTCTTCTCCGATTTGCTGCCATGGGGGCTGGGGGATTGTTCTCTAAAATGAAAAAAAACAAACAAAAC